GCAGATGTATCAAAAACGAAACCAAAATTTGGGGTGCTTGCAGATCTATCAAAAACGGAACTCCTGGTGTATCAAAAACGAAACTTTTGCGTATTCAAGTTTGTTGCAGAGGCGTGACTTTCGTGTTACAACTCCCGCCATTAAAATCTTTGCTTAGTCTCTGTCGTTCGATAACATTCTAGTACACAAAAGTTATTTCACAGCATCAACGCATTTTCGACTAATTTATTCTAGAATAGTATGTTTTTTCTGCAAAGTTTTGTTCTAATGAATATAACCTTTATTAACCGTTCCGCTCATTCAATGAAATCGGAACCAAATCGGCACGGCTTGCCGCCCGGGACCTGAAAAATTAACGTAGCATGTGACTCCAACGCTTCCTGCAAACAAAATTTCTCACAACCTTGAAACGTAAGATTGCGAACGTATCTTTTTTTCTTTCACGACAGGTTTGTTAGGACGAATTTAACCAATCGGGAATGGTACTTTTGTTCTCTTCTACCTATATGTCTATACTAAGTTTGTCACATGACAGTTTGTGCATTGTCTCCTTAAATTATTGTTTTGCAATCGGGATGACAAAATATGTTTCTTTGACAGTTAACAACTGTCTGGTTTGATATATCGACAGTGTCTCATTTGTCAGCTTTCCACGTTTTTTGATCAGCTTGAATGGAGCAAATATTTGAAAAGGAGAATGTTTGACGGAAATCGAACAGTATCCGACGTTGCATAGTGTAATCACAGATATTATTATGGTAGAAATGAGCGGATTATTAATGAAGTGTCTAAACATGTATTAGTATCGGCAAATGATGCATGAAATTTATTGGTTAATGGGTTTATTTACACGTAAATCCGATTAACCCAATAAAGGAAACGTCTGTTTACTGTATCAAGGTATGTGACGGACTACGAATATCTGACTTCATGTGTTACAGGATAGAAAGAATCTAACCTAGTTTGAAAAAATCAGAAAAACTTTGGAATTTTTCTTATGAAAAAATTCTTTAGTCAGAATCACATGAGTGCGTATTTATTGACTGATCGCTTTATTTTGGAAGGCCGGGTCACCCGCAAATTCTCAGGAAAGAACGCTAATCCAAATCTGCAAAGAAATTTCACTAGTTCTATGTCAAATATTTCAGCCTGACCCCGGTGAAGACGTAATTACGCAATGGTTTATTCTTAACAGTTATGAAATACGGATTAGCGTTGTCAAACTTTAATGATTCTGGTATATCTTTTAGTTTCACAGTTAAAGACATGCTTTGCATCGCGGCACTCACCGTGAATATGGTTAATAACGGCGATTGGCCAATTATCCCGATATTAAATACTTGGATATGTGTTGATATGAAAATTCTCATCCAAGAAAGGAAATACTAGAATGATGAATATCTGATAATTGTAAAAACGTTCATATTTAGTTCTTTTTCTTTCTGCAATTGAACTCTGATGCACGCTTTAGATTAAACATAACTGTTATTACTTCTAAATTAACGTTAGCGTCCAAACTTCCCATTCATTCCTATTTTCATTTGTTTGGGAAAGAAAATCCCGGTGGTACTGACAATAAAAGAAACGTAGCGCAAGGCGTCACAAAAATGTAAAATTTAACGGTAAAGTTGCACGAATACTTGCTGATCATTCACTACATACGGAAACAGGGCTCATTGCATAACTTATTTTCGACCAAAACTTTCATTTCTCCTTCCCATAACATTCTTTTTACTTTTTCCCACCTCCCTTCTATTGTTATTATTTTACTTCATACTATCACTTCTAATGGCGTTGGTCACCGACCCAAACCAGTTACATTCCTTAGAAAATAACTCGCACCAGCAAGGATCGACTTTAACGTCTGAGAGACCTTATGATGCCTTTTTGGTGAGCCCCTCTCTCTTTTCCTCGCATTGTCATAATTAAAGCATATATTGAGATTCGATTAGATACATTAATCATTTGCTTGTAGTATGTCGAGCGTCCAAAAGATGCTTTCGATATATTCAGAATAGAATGAGAAAAGCAAAGATGTTAAATGAAGAAATAGCAGACTATTTTCGTGAACGGTATGCCCCCGAATCATGACAAAAAGAATAATTATTGTAACTCTTGTTCTCCTCTTGTATTTATAATATTGGGTAACTTGTAGAGCACTGGTGGAAGACCATTATGTAAAGAGTCTTCAAAAATTGTCCAAGAAGATACCTTTGACGGAAAGATCAGCATTAGGGTTAGTGAACAAGCTATATCCAAGTTTTCGAATGCCAACTCTCCTTCCCCTCCTTTTGCTATATTCCGCTTTCGTAAGTTTTAATTGTATTGTTTTTATTCTTTGATAGCAATTTTACGTCTGTCTGGGATGCCTTCATAGTGAACTCAATGAAATAGCCAGCATTCATTCAACGTTTATGAAAAAAATTAATGAAGAGGTTGAGGCACCCATACGAGACATAAGTACATCCGAGGATTGGGTGAAAGTGAAAGAAGTATGCTGATTTTTATAACCGTTTTGCACTTGTGAACAGCCGATTTTGCTGTTTGCTACGGAATTACTTAATTGGTCAAAATTCCACCCCGAGTATTTTGGATCGG